TGACACAGGTTCTCACTGGAAACCAGAAACAAAGAACAGAGGGAGGATTAAGATAACAATCTACAGATCGTCAAAGTTACAGTATCAAACAAGATGCTGACTTGCTGAGGTTCTTCCAAAGACCAACAGGGCAGTGGGTAGGAGTTGAGGCACATTTCACGTCAATGATGAAAACTACTTTGGAACATCTGCAGTTAATGAGCAGAAGAACAGCTGGCCTTGGGATACAGGGTGCTCCCTGTGGCTAAAAATATTCATGAACAACCTGACCATCAAGGGCATTACATGTGGAATTTCTGCTCCATTTTGAGGTTGGATCAGGATTCTCTGTTGCAAACAAGACAACCTGATTCAGGTTAACTCAGTAAGAATAAGAATTTACTAGAAGGATGCACTAAAACTGGAGCCTGAGGCTTGGAAATTGGGTAGGAACAGAGACCAAGGAAGAGAAAACAAGGTTAGGGCATGCTGCAGGAGGAGTCTAATTTGAATATAGTCTATAGTATGACGTTTTCCCTTAAATAGGAAGAGAGCTTCGATGTTGGGTAGCCAAAGAAAGACAAAAGTCTATGTTGTTATTCTAAAGCTAGGTCAGTTCATAATGGAAGCATCCAGGTTGTCTAATTTTGTAGATTTAGAAAAAAAATGCAGCATCCAAACCATGCCTACCTCCTGTTTCCACATCTTGCACAATGGTGTCCTAAGAGTACCTGAGGGATCCTTTTTCTCCTTTCTTCCTCTTCCTGTTTTTGTACCAAGCAAAAAAGTGGCCCTGCCTTTGCCCATTATGGTTTTTTTCCCTAAAATAAGATTAGATTTGAATTTGATTTAAGATTTCTTTGTTTTCAGCCAAAGTGTTAGTCTTAAAATATAATTTCCTCTAAGGTGTTGTCAACCTTGCTGAAAATTACAAAGTGAGTGAAGTGCCACACTCTCTGAATATACAACGGTTTCTAAATATAGACCAACTGTCAATCTTGAAGAATATAATCACAAAAGTCATATATGGTCACTATTTATATCAGTAAAATGACTTGATACTTTTTGAGATTGGAAAAAAAATTGAGAAATACCACTATCCAGCCAAGTGTTCAGATAATTATTTTAATTGTTAGAACCTCCAGTAAAAATCATGTGAAGCAGCAGCAGACAATATTACTCCTTTCAGCAGTCTTTAAAAATTTCTAAAATCACACTAGGTGTGAGTTCTGTTGACAGATAAGGCAGACAATAGAGCTAGCCCAAGTTCAAGTTGGCTGATGAGAAGCTACCTGTGGCCGGAGACAGGGAGAAAAGGCTTGACTTGACTCTCTCACCCAAACTCTGAAGAAAGCTACTGTTGTTCGTAAGGGACGAGGAGGATGCACCTCCAGCTCAGATGAGGTTTGGCATTACCAGGGGATTCTCCTCACTGCAGAATGAGGTTCACGCGGAATCCTACAGAAGGGTATCCTGTTCCTGCCTGGCTAGTTCTCTGAACACACTTCTGGCTTAGAAACCCCTTCAGAGTTGTAAACAACTAAACTGCCCAGTAGTGGAGTTGAAGCTATAGGAGAATATGAGAAGAAAGTTTGGGGGCAGTTTCTTGAGCAATTCTAGAATTTTTTCCCCCAACACATTGAATTATACATTCTCACACTTCACATGGGATTGTTGATCATTTTACCCTTGATTTTGGATAAAATTACTTGAACTTATTCTGGTCACCTTATAAAGTTGTTTAATTGCTTTGCTTTTAGGATTTAGACATAGCTTTAGAATTTAGACTTTGGAAGAAAGAAATGGATAACCACACTAAAAGCGTTATTTTATATTTTAGAGTTGTGGGCTGGCCCATCCTGTTGCTTCAGGGACAGCTCCATCCCTGGCTCCAGAATGTGGGAGAGGGCAGGAAGACAAAATACTCTTTCTGTGTGTTCCACTTCAGGACCCCCTTCATCCTGGACACCCTACAGTGGTCCTCAGACAACATTAAAGATGTATACAACATTTCCCCCTTCAAATGTAGAGATCAACCTCTTTCTCCTGTCGTGTTTACTTTAATTGAACTAATACACACAGTTTAAAGAGATAAATAGTGCTCCTGAGCTTATTATAAACATCAGACTCTTGCCCTCCCTGCTCTGGTCACCTGTCTCTCTGGGGCATCTACTTTCAACTCTTTCAGTATTATTTACCACTTGTTTACAATATACATATTAATACAATGCCTTTTAAAATTCTTTCTAGATTATGCATTATCTATTGATGTCCTGATAAAAATTTTATTTCACTCTTCCCTGTCTTTTCTTCCCATCCTCCCAATAGATTTGCCTCTATTTTATTTAACTATCTAATCAATATTAACTACTTCCACTGCTATAACTGTAACTTTTACTTACAAATAAGCCACATAATATATTCTGACCAGGTAATTTATTATATTACTTTGGGATTTTCCAATAGTTAATAACTGCCTTGTTTGCTTAATTTTTTTTATGATCCAATCATTTATTAATTTTCAAACTTTCCTATAGAACTGAAGATCTCTCTGGTTGGGTTCAATCACATGATCTGTTCTCTCAGTTTCATCATCTTAGAAACATCAGCCATCATCCAGGGAATTTTCGCTGCCTTGCCCTAGAGTCCATGTTTATTTGATCTTACAGAGTTTTTTTATTTTATTTTTTGCTGCTTTGGTTACACCTCACTTTGGTGCAACACATTATCTAGTAACTTTTACAGAAAAGATGCATGTGGAGTAAATTTTTGTCTGCAAGTTTCCTAAATATAGCTTCACAAGTCATTCATACTTACTGTAATTCTATATTGGAAATATTTTTTCCTTAGCTTCCTGAAGGCCTTCTACTAGCCAATGGTCTGGCTGTTGAGAAGTCTACATTCTGATTCCTTGTCCTTTGTGACTTGCTTTTATTTTGTGAAAGCAGCTAAGAGTGTCTCTTTTGCCCCGGTGTCTGAAATTCCATAGCGATGTGTCTTGGCATGACTTCTTTTTGTTCTGATATCTCACAGGAATGCACCTTAGAGTGGGTTTCTAATCTCTACTGTGATAGGGACTCTAGGTTCTTTCAATCAGGAAATGCTCATTTTTCTGCTTTGAGAAAACTTTCATAGCTTTTCCTGTGAATTTCCTCTGTGTTTTTTTCTGTTCTTGTTGTTCTTGTTTTCTGGAATTCCTCTCGGTTGGTTTTCTGATATTTCTAGTCAGTTCTTCATCTTCTTCCTTCTGGAAGAATTTTTCAGCTTAATCATACAACCCTCTTTTTTTTTTTTTTTTTTTCAGGATCAAAGAGTATTTTTCTTTTCCTTGGAAGGGATCCTTCATAGATACTAATGTAGATGTTTCATAAATGTTATCTTCTTATCTCTGAGATTATTAATTATAAGGTTGTTTTTTTTTTAGTTTTCTTTTGTTCTCTATAATGTTTTTTTCCTCCAAGTCCGTTTCCTCTCTTTTCACTTTGTTTCTGTAGTTCCTGTTAGAGACGTTCCTCAGCTGTCAGGTGGCCCTTGGTCTTCACTTGCGTTCAGATCAAGGCAATAAAAGCTGACTAGAAGCTGGCTGAGGCTTGTCAGTCTGTTATGCCTCACTTTTAGGTCATCTGGCAGAGAACTGAGCATTTCACTGGTGACCTCTAACCACAGTATGTTTTATCTTAACTAGTTTGGCTTCCCTAAAGAGTGATCCTCAAATCTGGGTGGAGGGTGGGAGGGAAAGGAACTGGGGTTTTACTAATCAGGTTGTAAACTTTGAATTATTCTCTGTTTTCAGCAAGAATCTCCCTCTTTGTTTGACAATGCCTGGTATTTCCAAACCCAGACCCTTGGTGGTTTGCTTTTCCATAAACTAACTTCCTGATCTTCTGTAGTGTGGAGAAGGACAGGTCTGGCTGTGCAGGGCAAGGAAAGGAATCAGGGATTTGAATGTCCTTTTAAAGCTTACCGCCAGTCCTGTTTTCAACCTATCTACAACCTCCACATATAGCTGGTACCTCCAATTCCAGGAACTTTCTTGACATTCTGCAGCAGGAATTGGCTTGTTACTGGTTTCTTCTTCTCCATTTTCTTACTCGAAGACCTGGGTTTTAAGTTTTTATTGGCTAAAAGCATCCACCTGCTTTTCTATTTCCAAAATATCAATTTATCTTCTTTGCTGTCAGCTTCTCACTTATTGTCTGAGTCTTTGCAGATGTAAGCCTTTTTTAAAAAAATCCCTTTGGGAAAGAGGGAGACAGAGATGAAAGTGTATAAGTGTTCAGTAGACCAATGAAATAGATTCTTTTTATTTATTTTTTTTTCTTGGTACTCTTGATTGAAGTCAATTCCTAAAAATTTGAAAGACTATAAAAGGCATTTTTCCCATATGCATTAAAAATACTCAAAGGCTTCTGTAGTTTCTGGTATCCATTACTCTTTTCCAAACACTGTTTATCTGTCTCTAGGGAAAATGACAATGACAGACATAGTCAAGAGGAGATGTGGGGCTGTCTGGAACAGTTAGAGGCAAATAGAAGTTGAGGTCTGGAGTATGCACATGCTGTGTGCACGTGAAGGGTTGTCCTAGGAGGAAGGAGAACAAGGGGCAAAATTAGGGACGCTGGCTTCTGCGAAGCAATGACTAATTTGAGGAGCCTTCATGTAGGAGAAGCCTGTTGGTGGACTATACATCCTGCTTCCAAACAGAGGTCCGAAGGAGAGAAAGTTCGAATTGGCGATGACCTCATCCTTGTCAGCGTGTCCTCTGAAAGATACCTTGTAAGTACCTCATAATACAAGAGCATTTTGTTTTCAGAAATTTTTCCTTTAGGAATAGATGGCCATGAAGAACGGAGTCACAACAGGTTTGATAGAATAAGATGCTTTTACACATGTACAGTTGGCCCTTAAACAATGTTAAAGGTGGATGCCGACCCCCTGCACAATAAAAAATTAAAGTGTAACTTTTGACTGCTAAAAACTTAACTTTTGATAAGAAATAGCCTACTTTTGATAGGAAATAGCCTACTTTTAATAGAAAACCTTACCAATAATGTAAATAGCCTGTTAAAGCACATTTTATATGATATATGCATTATATATTGCATTTTTACAATAAAGACAAAAGAAAATGTTAAGGAAATCATAAGGAAGAGAAAGTATATATACTGTCTATAAAGTGGAAACGGATCATCCTAAAGCTGTTGATCCTTGTCGTCTTTACATTGAATAGGAGGAGGAGGAGGAAAAGGAGGGATTGATCTTGCTGTCTCAGGGCGGTAGAGGCTGAAGAAAATCCATGTATAAGTGGATCCGTGCAGCTCAAACTCGTGTTGTTTAAGGGTCAGCTGTACTTGAGGAATGATTGAATACTCTCCCTTGCCACATAATCGTGGTACCTGGAACTGATCTGTTACTCTTCTAGATTATGGTGCTGTGTCCAGCAAACTTTTCAAATGCTCCAAGCACTGTTTGCACATTATCTCCCATTATTCTGAATTTATTACATTGTTTAGCTCTTGTTTAGTGAAGAATAAGCAAGAAAGGATGCAATACAGGAAAATAAGCTTATGTTGGAGAAGGAAAATGTACAATGTTTCAGGGCATGTATTGCGGAGGGTAGAAGATGCAGGTGAGATTTTGCAGCTGGGGATGGGTAATAGACAAGCACCATTTTTATATCAGCTACTTGGCTGGGGGTAGGGATGCCTGAAGATGAGAGAAATGTCAGAGAAACTTCTCACCAAGCCAAATGAAGTAAAATCTGTAGGCAGGTTTTACTTTGCCTAGGTCAAATGTTGACTAATTTTTCTCATTTGTGAGTTGCCTTACCTATAAAGATTGGACACTTTATGAGTTGGTGTTGAATCAGCTCCAGCTGAGGGCATGAAGTCAACACATGTCTGTCATCTCTGTAGCTGAATAATTACTCACCCCAGAATAAAGTATCTCACTTCGAAGTTGCTTCCGGATCAGGTGGAGAAATCTCCCACAGGCTATCTAGAAAAAGCCAGATGACAGTAAGGCTATTAAATTTAATCCTTGAAGTTCTAGGTGAGCTGTTTCTGTCAGGACTGGACTGGTGATTTAAAGGATGTCTCATTTCTGTTTCTGCTGCAGCATCTCTCAGTATCAAATGGTAACATACAAGTGGATGCCTCCTTTATGCAAACACTGTGGAATGTACATCCTACCTGCTCAGGAAGTAGCATCGAAGAAGGTGTGCTTTTTTATATGCATTTAGCCCTGAGCCTGCCTCTCTTGTGCTATATACATTGACATTTTCTGCTACTTCCCAGATCTCACCTGAATATCTTGGTACACAGGTAGCCTGATTTTAGCTCACTTGAATTTCTTTCTCTGAATAAAGTATGGATTACTTTCTGTCCTAACTTCCAGTTACATGAGCATCCCTGAACTTATTTTTTAATACCATGGAACCCACTATTATTTTAGTGCTACATGCATTCAGGACTTGGGATATGTACCTTTCTTCTCTCCCTGAGTTTCCACATTTTTATGTTTGCTTACTAGTTGTAAGTGTAAAGACCTCAGCACCTTCGGTTTTAGAAGAGAGTATTTGCCAAGAAGGTGACATTGTTTATATTTCTCCCTACGCATCTCTCCATGCTGGTGAAGCACTGACCTCTATCATAAAAGTGTTTGGTCATTTGTTTTTACTTGTATTTATGGAAGGCCATTTTAACATAATAAGTGAAATTATTTTTCCCTTGGAAATAAAGTCATCCAACATTGTTCAGCATATTTCATGGAATCAAGCAAAGTCAACACATCTTTCAAGTTGTGTAATAAATGTACTACCCTTACTTCACACATAGGTAATATCACAGCTGAGAATAATAATCAATTGTCAATGACCTGTGGGCTATTGTGTTATATTGTGGCATTTTACAGCAAGATCAGAATTTTTAAAAATACTCGTCACAGGCTTTAGCCCTATTAAAGGCTAGTATTTTCAAACTGGGAATGTCCTTCTTTTTTACAATGTTTGAAAAAAGAGGGAAAACTGAGAGTTGTCCAGGTAATACCCCAGTTTCAGAATGCATGATGGCTAAACTGAATACACAAGAAAAGACAAATTGTTAACTCTTTTGGGAATAGGTGGAAGGCTTTAAAAGGTAGGATATGGTTAGCCCTCTTCCTTTGTGCCCAAATTAACCCACCCTCTTAAGTCTATTGTCAGTCAATTTTTTTCTTTTTCTTTTTTGTTTTTGTTTTTGTTTTTGTTTTTGTTTTTTGAAATGGAGCTTCACTCATATTACCCAGGCTGGAGTGCAATGGCGCAATCTCGGCTCACCGCTACCTCCGCCTCCTGGGTTCAGGAAATTCTCCTGCCTCAGCCTCCTTAGTAGCTGAGATTACAGGCACGCACCACCATGCCTAGCTAATTTTTTGTATTTTTTTAGTAGCGACGGGGTTTCACCATGTTAACCAGGATGGTCTCGATCTCTTGACCTCGTGATCCACCCGCCTCGGCCTCCCAAAGTGCTGGGATTACAGGCTTGAGCCACCGTGCCCGGCCCAGTTTCTTTCTATTAAGAATCAAGGAACTCTGGATTTAAGTCTTTCCCAAGAAGGTTTTGACTCAATCTTCTTCATGTTAAGTTTGTTATTTTCACCATAGGAATAAAATTATTTCTTGATCCCCTAAGAGGGCTTGTGGAGATTAAGTAGAGATTGTTTGCAAATCATGTCAAAAGGTCATTATAAAAGTGTTGAGCGCCCTTATAATATCGTCTGGATAACTCATCGCTTGAGTCATCTGGCTCTGTAGAAAGTGTCCTTCCGGCATCCATGTTGAGAAACCCACTTCAGACCTTCAGAATATAAGTGATCTTCATCCTGATGCTGCCTTCCTGACTATGGCCCTGATACATTTCAATTACGAAAAGTCGTGATGCACCAGCATTTGGCAGTGTTCTCAGTGTGAGTAAGATATTGATTGAAGGAGCCCAAGAACTGTAAAGGATAAACTCCAAATAGGGCATAGCTTCACCATCATGAGATGAATGAGAGTTTAATCAAGAGCTTGGTCATGGAGGGCTTTAATTTTCTAAATAAATTAGCTGTTAAGAATCCCCCTAGAGTATATCATGAATCGTTTTTAATGCAAAGAATATAACCCAGAATATCAGTACAGTAAGATACAGGAAAATTGGAAGGAAAGTTCTGAATATTTGAGGGAATTTTAGAAAAACTTGTCTAGGTGAAAAAACTGAACTAATATCAGACTGTCACTATACAAGATTCACTAATAATACCCTTTTCTCCTCTGGCATGATTTCCATTCTTAGTGTTTTAATCCAGAACCCAAAATAGCTTAAGACAGCCCCTAACATGATCTAATTATGTGATTTTCTTTCCTTTAAAAATTCTGACACAGAAATTGGGTATATTAAGTTCATATGTCTCCTGAGAACAAAGTAGCCTGAAGAGTTTCCTAATTCAGAGGAATAACAAGTCCCATTTCTTTGTGCAAGTTAAATCTCAGACTGGAGCCCCTCTCCTGCTACTATGTTCTTTTAACTAAGGCTCAGCATTTATTTGAAGACAAATGGATCATCATGTCCTTGAAGTTCATTGTTTCCTTTCCATCTCTGAGCTCCATGACTATTGAGATTTCTTTTCTTATTCTGAAAGCTAAGTGCTTGTTGGTAAAAGCATCTACACTTGTTCACTCAGGGATGCTGGAGAGTAATGCTGCTTTCCCTTTGTGCGGTAGGAGTAGCAATGAGATTCGTTCTGTTTGTTAAATGCATTTGAATGTTGGCTTCTCCCAAAGGTTCTTAAGAATAATCTGCTCCCCACTTCCCAGCACATTTCTTTCCCATGACTGCAGTTTCCTTTGGATTTGTCTGTAAAACATACATAGTGAGATTGTGGATATTAATCCAGAAATTTGGTATTTGTTGTATTTATATCCTAAGCAACTGGAAACTCCTAACATTAGCAACTTAGTTTTCCTTTTGATTTTTAATTACATCAATTGACACACTATTTTCACCTTACTTTTTGATGTTGGACTTGCTCACCTCTGAAGCCCTATTTAACTTTCAACATTAAAATTGTTTTGACTTACCTGTCTTTTCTGCCTGAGGCTTGAATTCATGGAATATGTAGTTATCAAAATGTGTCTCTTTCAGTATTTTCTGTAACTGCCTCGGACCTGTGTGAATTTATCCTTTTTAAATATGCCATTCTCTTTATTAAACTTCCCATCATTTACGGTAGAATATAATTCTCTTACAGGATACCTACTTGGTGGGCATGTAGTACGTCTTTTCCACGGTCATGATGAGTGTTTGACAATACCATCTACAGACCAGAATGATTCCCAGCACAGGTAAGCCAATAGCTTCGTTCTTCCCCTAGCTGTTTCCAGTCTCAAGTGAGTTTAACTCTTTAGTGTAAACTAAAGAGTTTACATTTGTAGTTAGCCACAGATGAACTCTGTACGTGTCAGCAAATTGACACACCTTCCTCCAGCCATGGGTTCCAGTTTGTAAAACAGAAATGGCAGTTCAGCTTGCTCACAGGAGGAGCTCTTTACACATGCTGTACTTAGGCAGACAGTTCTGTAATGCTTCCAGATCCCTTCATTTTCTTTGGCTCTGCACTTAAACAAATTATTCACCAGGCTCTTCAAAGCCAGATCATCTCTATTCCCATTTCATGTGCTAAGTAAATAAGGTGGACTTTATTGATTTGGTTTTGTTTATTACTAAATAGCATTAGAGAAACTAAATGATGTCCGACAGGAGCTGGATTTAGCAGAGGGTGGTGCCAAGGGTGCATTTAGAGGGCGCTGCTGAGGGCGATGTGTTCTTGTCCTTATACTTGACCTCTTCATGAATGCTTTTCAAAATTTCAAAACCATGAGATGGAGGATATGAATCCAAGTCTTAAACACATTCTAAAGAGTGTTTTGGTATTCTGTCATCAAAGGAACAGAACATAAAAAGCTTGCACTTGTAATGATAGAAATCTGATATTTTAAAAATCAAACCTCAGGTCTAAACTAGATTGAATTTAGGACAGCAGTGAGTCTGATCCAGTGATAATATTTTCTTTTCCTTTTGTGTAATGCCTACAGGAACCTTGTCAATTGCATTTCTCTTGCTTCATTAGAAACATGGGCTCACAAGTCTTCACATCTTGGAGATTATGTAGGTCAGGCTCCTGCCAAAGGTCACACACTGGCTGATTTCACATGCAAGCCTAGAAGCCAGAGTTGCTGACTCTCCATCAGGGATCATTTACTATTTGATGTACTCAAGGACCCACAGAAGCAATGAGCTTGAATGTATTATTATGGACCTTAGAAAGCACCCATTGGCAATGTGTATCCCTTAGAGTTCTGAGTCTCTTCCTACTTGCTATCTACTCTGAATACCTCTTCATAGGAACCAGATGTGACCCAGAAGGGTGCCTAGGACACATAAAGCACAGACCTATGTAAAGTGCTGTGCTTCATTCACTCGTTGCCTTCCTGGTACTGGTGCAGCAGTTGATAGTCATCTCTGAGTCGGGAAGTTAGTTCGACCTGATTTCCCTTCAGAGGATTCTCTACCCTGTCATGTGATCCTGTTCACTTGTGGTTTGCCTGTTATTCAATATTGAAGCTATACAGTAGCCCATTTACTGTCTCTCTTACATCATATTCTGCTGCATCAAGGGGAAGGTTTGCAGGTGGATGAGGAACTGAAATATTGTGAGTTTGGCAGGGTTGTCTGTATCTAAGATAGAATATGTCAGAACTTTCCTAGTTCATTCTTTCTATTCCTGTTCTACGTTTAACAATAGGAATTTGGGAAAAATAAAGTATTTACCATATGCATGCCCCCACCCACATGCACACACCTGTCATCAAAATTAGAGCCAAATTAGGAACAGTTGGGCAGAAACTATGCTACTTAGAAGGTTAGTCATTTGGTGAACATTCCTGTCAAATAATTCAGCAAAATTCTGCTTAGAAGGAAAGCCTCAGCAAGTGTTTGAGAGGATATAATGGGGAGGGTGAGGTAGCTGGAGAGGAGTTTTCACAATGAGCACACTGGAACAGACATGTATGCTGTCATTTAAATAAACATGAAGATGCCCTTTCTTTAGCCCAGGATTTCATAGGCTCTAATTTGTGTTTTGGAAAAAAAATTATCAATAAAAGTAAGGCTTATTTTATAAGGAAGCATGAAGGGTTTGAGACTGGGGCAAGTGAGCAGCTGTTCAGCACACTGAAACTCGAATTTTCGTATCAACTAGTTTCTCAACCAAAACAGGATGCATAAAGGGAGTGATGAGCCTTGTCTTTGTCTTCTGTTGTCAGGTAAATCCTCAGAACTGGCCAGGATGGCCAGGAACACCAAAATCTGGGGAAGCATTATAGAATAGGAAATAGCACACTGAAAGATTCCAGCAGCCGCTAAGGCATGCAGGCATTCCATGGCAGTGGTGCTGACTCTCCAGAAGAAATCGTTTTCAGTCCCTGTAAATCCTGAGAGCAGCCAGGCTATGTGAAAAAACTGTCCCAGAGTGGAAACCCAAGATTAACACTCTGACATTTTGAGCTCTGAACCTTGGCTTTGCCTCTGGCTTGTCAAACACCCTGGGATAAGTTACTTTTAACTTACTGAAGCTAAGGCTAAGCTGTCAGCCACGCTTTCAAAAGCACCTCAGCTTGCCACCCACTCTACTCCTCTCCTTGGAATTGTTTTAGAGAACAAGAACAAGTTGTTTCAACCTCAGTAACCTTGTCAGATTAAATGAAGTAAGCTGCCCAAATGTCACAGGAGGGAAGAACAAACCTTCACAAATCCTTCAGATGTTGGGGTAGAGAGTCTTCTAGTACCAACTCCAGCACTGTTTAACCTGGGACCTAGGTGAGCCACTTCACCCCATTCTCCTGAAGGGATCCTTTCAGCTTGCACTAGAGAAGGAAAAGCATCAGTGAGAATCTCAGCAAATTTTCCTAAGGGGCTAGGAGATTGGCACAGTATCATTTCCATTCTAGGCCTGGTACAGAGATACCTGGGGTGTTAGGAATGCTAAAGCAATGTTGAATTTTCTTGCTGATATTTATTGGGCATCTCCTGATAACATGTACATTAAAGAAAGATTGAGAAATATCCTCTATAATCCCACCTTCCAGTAACCACTGTTAATGCAGAGTTTCATTGTATTGCTATACCATTAATGTGTTCCTCTGCATGTTTCTAGACATTTATAAAAACTTTTTAAACATTTTTTAAAAACACTTTAGGCTGGGCATGGTGGCTCCCACCTGTAATCCCAGCACTTTGGGAGGCCAAGGCAGGCAGATCACGAGGTCAAGAGATTGAGACCATCCTGGCCAACATGGTTAAACTCTGTCTGTACTAAAAATAAAAATTAGCTGGCCATGGTGGTGCACGCCCGTAGTCCCAGCTGTTTGGGAGGCTGAGGCAGGAGAATCGCTTGAACCTGGGAGGCGGAGGTTGCAGTCAGGCCAAAATCACACCACTGCACTCCAGCCTAGTGACAGAGTGAAACTCAGTCTCAAAAAAAAAAAAAGAAACTTTAAATTTTCGCAACATTCTGTGATGTAAATACCCTTATTAGATAAGCAAACAGACACAGAGAGTTTAAGGGGCTTGCCCAAGGTCACACAGCTAACAGATCCAAACCCAGGTCTGTCTAACTTCCAAGTTCATATTTTGAATCAAACATAATTATACTACCTCTCCAAAAAAAAAAAATAAGTATACATTTTCTTTTCACCACTGTTGATGACCTCTTGTCTCTAAAGCCTAGATCAGGATTCTTCTGGGGTTTGATCAATTCAATTGTGATACATACAAATGCTCTATGGTGGAGGTAGAGTTTTAAGTTAGTAAATGTAAATGCAGTTAAATAATCAGCTTTGATCAAAGGTCACAAGATTTTCAAAAACTGGTTGGATTTAGTATACCAGGTAGTCTGGGACCACTATTCTTGAGACATGCTCTTAAACTGTGATACTTTATTTAATTCTATATAACCTGTGATCTAAAATTTTAAAACTGAGGCTCTGTTAATCACTGGAAAAACATGAGAAACCCAAGTTGAGAGACATTTCACAAAATATCCAACCAGTATTCCACATAACTGTCAAAGTCATGAGAAACAACACAAGACTGAGAAAGTATAATAGGTCAGAGGAAACAGGAGACATGGTTGCTAAACGTAGTGTGGTATCCCGGATTATATCCTGGAACAGGAAACGTTTATGGGAAAATTTAAGCTGAAATCCAAATAAAGTCTTGAGTTTAGCTAGTAATGACATACTGGTATTGGTTTCTCAGTTTTGACAAATGTATCTTGGTAATATAAGAAGAAAACATTGGGAGAAACTGAGTGTGATTATACAGGAACTCTCTGGACTATCTTTAGTAACTATTACATAAACCTAACATTTTTCTAAAATAAAAATTTTATTTCAAAACACATTAAAAGATTCTAAACATGGGAAAGGAAGCAACAGTACAATGATAAAATCGTGAATACTATAACAACTGAGCATAAAGCTTTGTTCCAAGTGTCCTAGAATGATGGAAATGAGTTCACACGGTGTCAAATATATGCTTTTAAAGTACAAATACATTTTTTTAAAATACAAAACTACATCAAGGAGCTTAACCTGAAGGAACTGGAGCATTCTGTGTCTGTCGTCATTGTGTAACTGGGCTATTGTGACTCCTGATGTAGAGATGTTCTTGTTCCTGCCTTTTCCTTGTATATCTGATGATGCATAAATTTCCATGATACGGATGTGGTGAGCAGCTCTCTCCCCTCTAGCTGTTTTGATCCCTCCTGAGAGAGAGAGAGACTGGGAAACTGTCCTCCCTTTTATTCTGGCTTTGTATTCTGCTGACTCCAAAAGGGCTCAGACAAGCTGGGTTCCTGAACAGCCTCCGCAGGGAGCTGTTCTTAACCCGGGTGCTGATCAGTGTCATGCAAGTAGGAGCTGATTTCCAACTCTGCTCTCAGGAGGATATTCTACGAAGCTGGGGGAGCTGGGACTCGAGCCAGGTCTCTGTGGAGAGTGGAACCCCTTCGGATAAGGTAATGGAGGGCCTGGGAGTGCTCTTTTCAAGATTAGTTTCTTTTCTAATACAGTCCATTCATTCCACATCACCTGACAAACTCTTACAAGTCCTTTGACTAGAGCTAAGTTCTGAGATTTCTATGACTTTGTTTTTAAAGAACGATCACACACACACACACACACACACACATTTCCAAAGCCACGGTTTTGACTCTGAGGCTAGCTTGCTCTCCTGTGCTTGCAGTAGCTGACCATAAAAGAAAAGCTCAGACAAGGCCACCAAAACCCATCCAAGTTCTCCCATTTGTTTTCTTAAACAGGTTCTCTGGAACCCAACTAAGTCTTCTCTCTCCTCTCAGTAGTTTTGTTGTCCCCAGTGGACAGTTAGCTTTAAATGGCACACAGACAGGTAGTCAAGATGGCATAAGATGAGGAACATGTAAACTTCACTGAAAATGTAGCTGTGAAGAAAAAGGTACTTACTAGAACTTTTCAGAGACAGTTTTGTCCCTTGGTGGAAGGAACAGAAGGCTAAGACTTGCCAGCCACAAGCTTGAATAACCTTGGGTGGTTGCTTAACTTCAAACCACTGATGGGGGATCACTTTGAATGCAGGACCTTTATTGGGCTGAGAGGGTTTGCAAGTTAGGCTAGAGCTAAACTGCTTGAAATGAGAGAGGAGGCTTAAGTGTCGCCCTCTGCTTTTCCTTCTCTGCCTTTCCCTCTAGTTATTTATGCTCAGCCTCTCCCTGAACATATCTTCAAAACAAATCTCTCTCATGCAGGGTATATGCCCCCAAGGGGTCCTGAAGATAATCCACTGGCAATCAGAAGGGAATATGAGGACTTCTCTTACACTATACACACATGTGCACACATGTTTTTTTCTGAGAAATTGGTAGCTGATTGTTTAAGGAATATCGGTTTTAAGAAGCATGCACTTAACTGGCTTGAGGCAGTTGCATCCTCTTTCCAAACCCATTAAAAATCTGAGAGTAACACACTTGTTCTCAGTACATTAGGCCTTGATTCTTGCTTAATAAACTTTTAAAGAGGTCAAAATAGGTATGTATACGTACTTCTGGTTACATTATGATTGCTTGTTCATTTCCCGAGAGACTAAACATGAAGAATTTAAGCCTTTTATCAATGTGATTTGGATTTATTGATGCTTCAAAAAGTTGGGAAAAATGGAGAGTTATTTTAAATTTTGACACATATCTCTTAAACATATTCTTAAGAGATAAGTATTTTGCATATGAGCAAATTTTTTAAAAAGATAAATTTTCAGTATGATTATTCAGTGGATAATTTGTCCCCTAACACTTACTGTAATTTTTGCTGAATGCTGATCTTTTGATGAAGGACCATGAAGAGGACAGCATTCAATATGAGATCTCACTTGCCTCAGTCCTCACTGTTTTACTTATTTTCCATAGAATTTATCTTTTTTTAACATAATGCGGTGTTGATTTATTACACTCGTTTATTGTCTGTCTTTGGTAAGTGTAACCTGTGTAGGTATTTTACTATTTCCTTTGAAGACAGGACTCTTTGTGGTAGTAATGTGTTTTAGTTCAGATGGCAGATTTGGAAAGGCTTTCCCAGAAACAAGTTTCCATTCAAAGACAAGCTTACCATTGATTTGTGATTATTTGCTTCAAGACCTTTCAGTGGAGAGAGGAAAAATTGGAAACTTGGGACTTCCAGTTGCATGACCTGCTTTCAAGATCATTCCTTGTTGGTGTCATTAAGAAGAGCACCTTGCTGGGATGAAAGCAGATGTGGAATCCTACAGCAAGCCAGGATCCTGGTCCATTTTCCCTTAAGGGTGGACACCAGAAGGATTATAAGTCTGCTAGCATATGTAAGAAAGCACAGGATAAATACTGAAAAGGACTCATTTTTGTATAAATGCAATTTCTTGTCTGTTTCATCTGCTCAGCTGGAGTGGCAGTAACATCAGATGGGGCCAGGCTTTCCGACTCCGGCATCTCACCACAGGCCACTACCTGGCCTTGACAGAGGACCAAGGCCTAATGCTGCAAGACCGGGCAAAGTCAGACACCAAGTCCACAGCTTTCTCTTTCAGGGCATCAAAGGTAAGGTGTGATGAAGTGGACTTTGACCCTGTTCTAAAAGTGAAAACTCAGAAACGTCCAGGTAGAACTATAACTGGAAAAGAAAGCAGGCTGGAGCAAAATGAAATTGGAAATTTGACATAAGATAAACACTTTCTTCTTTTATCTTTTGAATTGAGTTGATGGAGGAATGTGTGCCTTGAATGAAGGTTGAAGTCTTGAGCAAAAGGAGAGAGTGGAAAGTCTTGGAAAATGCAAAGATCATAGGAATGGACATTGTTGCTCAAAGACTAATGGAAACTATTATTGTTCAATGCATTCTGAGTTGTCTTTAATAACTTCCAAGTTCTATTCTTCACTCCTTTAACATGGAGGCATGAGTTTCAGAGCTATAATTGTTTAAATGAAAAAGGTGATTTGTTAAAAAAATTTTTTAAAGGTTTAAATTTAAAAGCAAGAGTTTTAGTGCTTTTTTTTTTTCAGATGGAGTCTTGCTCTGCTGCCCAGGCTGGAGTGCAGTGGCACAATCTCGGCTCACTGCAACCTCCACCTTCCAGGTTCAAGCAATTCTCCTGCTTCAGCCTCCTGAGTAGCTGGGATTACAGGTGCATGCCACCATGCCTGGCTAATTTTGTATTTTTAGTAGAGACAGGGTTTCACCATGTTGGCCAAGATGATCTCGATTTCTGACCTCATAATCTACCTCGGCCTCCCAAAGTGCTGGTATTAACAGGCGTGAGCCACCACGCCCAGCCTCAGTGCTATATTTGTTTAAACTTTTTAAAATGATGCAGAGAAGACATTCTGGACATGATCTCATCTTGCAGTTATTATTTATATGACAAAATTTACTACTACCTTCCTCATTACTTTCCTTAGCTATCCCTGTTCCCCAGATCTCTTCGCTTTCTCCTATCCATCCCAAACCTTCATGAAGAATGGATCCTCTGGGAGTTAGTTTAGCCTTGAGTGAATGGCTTGCCATCTGATGTGTATGTAGACAACTATTCTTTTTTTTGAAACCTTCACCTTTAAGCTCAGCCAGGCTTTGACTCTGTCCAGCTGAGCTGGATCTAGTTGAATGGTCAGAATTGCATGCTGAGCTAACTTCTGACAGACAGTTGGATGGTCTGTCACTTTGAGTGTTCTGGAAAGATCATGCAAGCATGAGAAAGGCTCTGTACAGATGTGTGCACTGTACAGAAGTCTGCACTTCCTAAGAATATAGCTCAATATCTCCTTTGAGAGTTTCACCTTTAGTTTCATTCTTTGCTCTTTTCCAGAAATAAATCTTGATGTGTTCTCACCATGATTTCATTCAAGGGTTGTTGAGGATTCTGCTCATGTAGGACTAGGTGTGAGGCTGACAGCTGAATTTTCTATGGCGCATCTCTGCTTCCTAATGCACCTGAAGAAAACAGTCAGCACTGCTCTTCTTTGACATTGGGGTTCAGTCTGTTTTCCCCCTCATTTTGTGCTCCTATGGTCTTTTTAGGCAGAGAAACTCATTAGCATGTAGTTTTTAAATTGCCCTATATCAGAATTATGCTTTTTTCATACTTTTATTTCAAATATTAGAAGACATGTGCTTCCTCTTTATATTTTCCTAACTATCTCTCAAATGTCATCTTCCATCTGCTTCTCTTCCAATGGCTATTGACTCTGATTTCATTCTGGTTTTCTGAGCACAACTTCCTCATGTTGCTGTCTTTTTTTTTTTTTTTTTAGATTCCCAACCCAAAGCATTCTTTAAATTCAAACTTCTCTCTGTTTAGTAAACATTTTTCCTCCAGGAAGTGATTTAGAGCAGTGCAACTTTCTAAAAGAATAAGTGAAACAAAGTAACGTAAAAGTCATAAGAACAGAGACTGGGACATAGAGTGGGGGCTAAGGGTAGGTGAAAGTAGAAGAGGGAGGTAGAAGACAAGAAATGACTCATCATGGCTAACGACCAAGCAAGTGTTTTTCTAAGAATGCCAATTTGGCCCTTTCCTTATTTGAGTATTCTACCCCTTTCTCCTTGACCCACTCAGGATATGCTGCTGGGAATAGAACAATGACCTCAAGGTCTTTACAATTTCAAAAAGGGGCTTTTGTTATCAGGCATCAGGCGGCCTTCCAAGCAGCTGGAAGGACCCTATTCCAAGCAGAGTCTTCCATTCTATTCCATTCTTGGCTCAGCCTTGTGGAGCATGGCTCAGTGCTGTGCTGTGGTCTCTGGGGGAAGCAAGAAAACCTCAGAGCCCCATAGAGACCTTGTAACACTCCTTCTGCTTGGCATCACTTCTGGTGTCTCAATATATTTCCCTTCAAAGGTCCCATTGCTATCTCCCAAAGTTCCTACATTTCCATGTATGGGGAGACAAGCAGCGTATGGCTGGAAAATCATCATGGTACCAAAGGGGCTATCAGCATAGCAGAGCTGGAGGTAAAAGTCACCCATGAGTCGCATTGCCCTGTGCACTTGGCAGTGTGGTTATATTTCACTGGAGTCACTATGCTAGAGATTTTAAATAACTCTCCATGCGGTAGTATTCAACCCAGCTATCTTCATTTCAATTTGAAAGGCACTGAAGTTAAAATGGCCTAGGCTCTATGGCAGGCCAAGATATGGCTGTGTTCCCACCTGATGGCAGGGTCTCTTTGGGACATTGTGTGGGCAGGGCTTTGGCACCTTAGACTGTGAAGCTGCACAATAAGGAAGACCATGTGGAGAACACATAGCTCTGTCATACACCATCCAAGTAACTGCGGGGAGAGTGCTGGAGGGCCCTGATTTATCTGGGCTTCCATAAGCCTGCTTAGTAAGCATATTCTTGCCTTGTTCGACATGGGCTTTCTTTTAATGCACTCTCTAGGGTGCTTCCCCTCTCTGGGCACAAGTGACAATACCCAGCAGAAAGAGGTTTGGGGTTCTGTTTCTCAACAATGTAAGGGCATTAAATCATCTGACCAGCCCTTGCCTGTAACAGGTGTTTTGTGACAGAGAAGACAGAAAATGGTAGCCTGAGATAGCAATTCAGGATCTTTGGGGTGGCACAGGAGTTGGGAAGGCTGAGGGAGAGGTGGAGACAGTTATGTGTTGTGGGACTGGGGCAGAGGGCAAGGAAGCAGGGTGATCCTCTCCATATGCTGGAGTTTCTGAAAAAGAGATTCTTGGGAAGAGCACTTTTGGGACTTCAGTCAGGTGTTTTGGGGGGACATTGGATGTGTTTGGGCCGTGAGTCCTTTGGTAATGATGAGCTTCCCAGGCCCACATTTTCTGTTAGGTTGCATTAGCCTGTGATAGCTGTGACTACTAAATTGGGGGCCACTGGATAGCTGCAGGTGTGTGCTAACATCTTGAGCAGCCTGCCGTTACCAGGAAGATGGCAGTTGCCCCAGTGGACCTTGTATGTGCATGATAAGTTGGGAGTGTGACTGAGCCTTACTGAAAGGTGACCAAGTCCAAGAACCAGTTGCAGTTATTGGCCCAGCCTGGCTCAAATGAAATCAAACTGAAGACTTTGAGCAGGCTGTGCAAATCACAAAGAATAAAGAGCAGGATGTGATCTTAATCCTTGTCCTCCTTCCCCCCACTTCAGCAGGTGATGCAACTCAAATTGTAGGGCCAGAATGTAGTGTTACTTCTACAATGCACCATCCCAGGCTTAGCCCTTTGATCTGAGAGTGCTGTTGTGGGAGACACAGCCTGGCTCAAAGTTAGCCTAGATCTGGCCTCCCCTCTCACCTGCTCCCTATGAGCCCTGAAACACAATTCTTAATCAGTTTGCACCTCATTTGAAGTCTGTCATTAAAGATGGTTCAGACCTGACTGCTGCCTGCCCTTCAGTTGTATCTCTTGCTATTTGCCTGAGGTTTCCTTGAGGTCCAGCATATGAAATATTTCTCAGTCTTGGAACATATTTTTTTTTCTAATCACCACCACACTTGTGCCTAGAATGCCTTTTGCCCCTCTGCGCTCTACCACAGTGAGCATCTTCTCTTGCTTTCAGGCAGGTGACAAGTGCTCTTTGTGAGAGGCAAACCTACTCATGCATTCTCAAGGCCATCACTTCCTCAACTGGGAGCCCTTGGATGACAAGGACCACACATAACCCATCCTACTTGATTTTTGCATCCAAGAATCTCTTGGAGCAAGTTTGAAAAATGCTTGCTGAAGGGCTATATCAGTGTGGTCATACCTTGAAATAGTGAATCCATTTCATTCTAATCTCCATTATCTTCATAGAAACATCCTGCCATCCTTGTGTAATCATTTTGCTACTGTAGTCTCTTCCCAGGACACATCCAATGAGAAAGATTCATTTTATTTTGAAGATCTAAGTCAAATTTGTATGAACTTGATTTCACATCAGTTTTCCATGGTCTTGACATTGCAAGGCCATTCCCACAAGGATTTCAGATAATGTGATTTAATATTTACTCTGGCACGGCAATAATGTCTGTTTAGATGTCATGTCTCAATGTCAGTTTACAGCATTGAATTTTTTTCAGGGAAGGGTGAATTAATAATGTTAAAGCAGGCCTTACTACACATAGCCACTTAGTGTATAGCCACTTTAAAAGTGCTTTAAAAATCTATTTTAAAAGACTACACCATGCATCTTGAATGACTGGGATAGAATCTCAAATGTTGCCTTTTTCATTGTGTAAGGGCATAGAGCTATCATCATTCCCAATTAGAGAAAAAGTTTCCTCACTGTATAAAAACATTAAATTCAGGCCGGGCGCGGTGGCTCAAGCCTGTAATCCCAGCACTTTGGGAGGCCGAGGCGGGTGGATCACGAGGTCAAGAGATCGAGACCATCCTGGTCAACATGGTGAAACCCCGTCTCTACTAAAAATACAAAAAATTAGCTGGGCATGGTGGCGC